TGTAGTTCAGAGAAGTCAGACCCTCCTGGAAATGCTTCCTTCTTTAAATGAAAATTCTACATCTGAAGCAAATGGGAGGCCAGCAAATCACAGAACTTTTTGTAACGATCTTTAAGGAAACCATCAGGACCCTGAGTTAAGCCGAGCTGGAGTTTGTGACTGTTGTTGTTGTTACTGCTTGAATCTATGGTAGAGCCCCTCAAGTTTGTTTCAGATCATTATTAATTTCTCCTAACTCAGACAAATCAGCAGAAAGGTAAATATCCACCAACGCAAAGTATTTTTCAAAAGTTAAGAAGTTTTTGGTAAAAACCCAAGCCTTATTAATCTTTTGCAGATGACAATCATATATTGCTGACGATTAAAGATGCCCCTGTGTTACAATAGGGCTGCAGACGCACAGCCCATCTCTCTTTTTCTCGATCTTTCAGTAAAATCATCATGCTAAACTGGTGACTTTACAATCGTTTCCTTGGCAAAAGATTACTCTTGTAAGCACAGAGGAAAAGAGCCCTACTCACACACAAGTGTCTCCAATAACGGTGGGAGAACACAGGATACTACTGGCACAGTAAATTGCCTTTCTTCTGAAAACTCTCTCTCCTTCCCATCCTGCTCCATGTGCCCGAGTGTAAAAGCGCCGCTTTGAAACCACTTCATCTTGTAGATCAAACACGTAAGAGAAAATGACAATAATAAAGCCCCAAACATCCTAGGAATAGCCGGGAGAAAACCCTCTAGGACAGTTGGAAATACATCAGTGCGGAAGTATGCAGCTATGTTGAGTGCAGTACTTGTGTTTCTCATGCACACGAGTGGGAACTGCCGTCGGATTTTAAGGAATTATCCTAAAATTGATGCTCAATCACTTTTCTTTGGGGGAGGGGAGTCCTTTCCCTCGGTTCTCTCCAGGTTACCTAGTTGCCAACTTTTCTGAGTGGGAGGCTTAGGCAATAAAGGATTCTTGTGGGATTTTTAAGTTTCCTCTTGAACAGTTATCTCCTGTTTCTTCAGAATGGGAGCTAGGAGGGCGATGGTTTGCATTTTACCTATAAAATACAGGTAAACACATAATCATTTTAAAACAACTTTCAAAAAGCACTCCAAAGATTCTACCCTGAAATAAATAATTAACAGCAGGTTTCTGAGATTTCTTCATCGGGCAACTAGTTTGTTTCAGTTACAACCAGGTGTGCTGAGAGATCCCAACACATTGCCAGTTGGCTGGGGCCAGGGAGGCAGACCTTGCAGGCGGCTAAAGAAACAACGCATCACTGACAACTTCCATTCATCATCCCGGCTCCGGCCAGGGGTAGAAGCTGGAAAGAATGGTCTCCATGTGCGCTCCCGGGGAGGAGTCTTCAGGGCCTGCGCACTTTTGAAAGAAACCCGGCAGTGGTCTTTTATGTGAGACTGCATGTGCCGGGAGGACGCAGACAGGGCACTGTGTGGTTCGGCTTCCCTCTCACAAATGGCCTCTCTGCTTTGCAGGCAATGGGTGTGGACAGGTGTGTGGTGGCCCAGATACAAATGGACACCTTGCTGTGCTGTGACATGTTGCTCCTTTCTCAGTTATCAGAGCTAGGTATGAATCTTGCAGAATACCTTGTGGCAAGCACAGGGATGCCATTGGTCCCTTTTTTGCACCTTTGCTGAGGAGGATTTCTCACCCCCTCCCCAACTGTTACAGGTGTTTGCAAATGACGTAATTTTTCTTCCTACACCCCTCCCTATGCCTTTTGCCTGGGACATCTAGGGACATCTAGAATGTGTGTTTTCCTTTTCTGTTTAACCAAAAGACTAGTTCCAGATTTAGCAAATGAAACTCCAGACCAAGAGCCAACTCAGTTCAACAGATTAAATTATTCTAATCTGGAATTTTGACAAATGATTTGGGAAATGGGACCCATACAAATACTCCTAAAGGCTTCAAGTCAATCCCGACTGTGCTTTACTTTTGGAGGAAGATAAATAGAACTCTTTTTCTACATATGTCCAAGAGGTGATTCATAAAGGCAGTATCATTTATTTTGCCCCGATAGCTGTACTCACTCATTAAAAAATAAAAACCTGTCTGAGGCTTTTATGTGAAAAGTCCACCTCTCAGATGTCAACTGATCAAAGTGCCGAGCTGCCTGTGAGATCCGTAATTGTGCTCACACGGCCACCGAGGGCACCGGCTCCTGCTGCCTGCTCGCCGACTGTTCTGGCAGCAGGAATAGGTGTTTTCCTGTGTCCACTGGGGAAGCACATGCTTTTTTTTTTTTTTTTTTTTTTTTTTTTTTTTACTGGTGCATCTTAGCTGCTGATGCCTGAAAATTTGGCCTCAATTGTTTATAGAAAGGAAAAGCAATCTGAGCTGTCAGCCTTGATATTACCTAAACCTGCATAGAATGTGGTAAAATAATGCAAGATTTGTTTTGTAGGCCTGTTTCATATTTTCCAGGCAATAGATCAAATCAGTTCAGGGTTCATTTTTAGTTCTTTAACAAGCTGACGCAGTGTGCTGGCAGTAAAATAAGAATGCACTTTCACATGGAAGTGCCACAGAGACCAACTTGCTCTATGTGCTATTTATTAATAACTAGAGAACCCTCAAAAATTCATTTCAGCACTTTTGATGGGAACACTGAGATTCTAGTTCTTTCTAGTGTAATGAGCACCATCTCCATCTTGTTATCTTAGCCTTATTCCCTTGTCAATGCCTACTTTCTTTTTCTGCAGTTTACAAGTGTTTTACACAACACACAAGCCATGAGAAGAGTGAATAAATCATCTATATGCCTTTTCTCTCACATTCTTCCCTAAATTTTCACACTTCCATATGCTGGAAATGCCCTCCCCTACATACCCACTCCTTGACTTCTTACACCAAAGTCACCCCAGGAAAGCCACCCCTGACCACCACACCTAAAATGCCAGCCCTCAAACCTGACACTTTTTGTCACTGTTTTCTCTCCTTAGCCTTTATTTCCATGGCCATACTTGACCATTTCTTTGTGTCCTTGGGTCCAAATTATCTGTCTCTCCCGCTGGAATATAAGCTCCATGAAGACAAGGATCATCCTGTATCTGAGATTTCTTTGTTGGGCAACTATTTCAGCCAGCAGCCAGTGTTCCAGATCCTATCTAATAAAAGAGTAATATGCAAATTGACCATCACTCCAAGACACAAGATGGCTGTCCCATGTGGTCAAAGATGGCTGCCCCCATGTGGACACAAGATGACCATCACAAGATGGCCTGCAGAGGAGAGTAGTTGTGGGAAGTTAGGGGTGACCAGGCTGGCCGAGGAGGGCAGTTGGGGAGACCAGGCCAGCAAGGGAGGGAAGTTGGGGGGACCAGGTCTGCAGGGGAGGGCAGTTGAGGGGGAGAGGGACCAGGCCTACAGGGACAGGCCATTTTGGGGGGGGGGGCAGGCCTTCAGGGGAGGGCAGTTAGGGTTGACCAGGCCAGCAAGGAAGGGCAATTGGGGGTGACCAGGCCACAGGGGAGGACAGTTAGGGGCAATTTGACCAGCTGGGGAGCAGTTAGATGTCAATCAGGCTGGCAGGAGAGTGGTTAGGGGTGATCAGGCTGGCAGGCAGAAGTGGCTAGGGGCAATCAGAGGCAGGTAAGGGGTTGGGAGCCAGCAGTCCTGGATTGTGAGAGGGATGTCTGCCTGCCCATTTAGGCTTGATCCCACCAGATCAGGCAGTCCTAAACAGGCGGGCAGACATCCCTCAAGGGGTCCCAGATTGGAGAGGGTACTGGCTGGGCTGAGGGACACCCCCCCTTCCCGTGCATGAATTTCGTGCACTGGGCCTCTAGTATATTTATCAAATGAATGAATGGAAGTCATTTGTCCCAGGCTTTGGTTTCTTTGTTACATGATGAATGATGTGTTTTTACAGCCCGATTGAATGTGGTGCACTAGGTCTCTGTAGACTTCACTCCTGTCCCTGCCGACAAAAGTCTGAGTGTGGCCTATTGTCTCCTGGAGTCAGACTCAGCGTCAGGGCCTGCAGTGCAAGGCTGCATTCAGTGATCCAGCCTTTTTTGAGGCATTTTCTCTGGGCTGAGTTTCCCTTGAACACCATCAAAATCAACCTTCCTTCCATCTCTGTCTGGATTCTGTGCCTCTTCTCCTTCCCCAGCATTTTGGATAATACCCTGTTTCCAGAAAATAAGACAGTGTCTTATATTAACTTTTTCTCCCAAAGTTGGGCTAAGTCTTATTTTCAGGGGATGTCTTATCTTTCCATGTGCTAGGTCTTATTTTCGGAGGATGTCTTATTTTTGGGGAAACTTGGGTAGCATGGATTTGAGCTAAACAGCTTATTCCTTCTTCATATAATAATGCAGTTCATGGGAGCAAAGAAGCCAGCCTGGCCCTCCACCTATGGGAAGCCAAGAAACAAGACTTTGTGGACTGGCGACGTTTGCATTCGCCACCCTTGCAGTCCTGGCGCCCTGGACAAATGCATTGAGCCTCGCCATTTCTTTGCTGGATTCTGAGAACATCCCGTGCTTCTCTGATGTTAAGTTTTACTGCCCATGAAGGCAAACATCACCTCCGTCACGGCCAGTTAAACAGTATCTTTTACAGTGGACTTCTGCATATCTGAAACGCACCCATCCAAAGCCAAAAGTAATATGGGGGGAGTGGGGAGAGGGGGAGAGAGATTCTATTCTGCCATGTTTCTTACAAGAGGAGATCAAGGGTCAACTCAATTCATAAAATTACTGCAGTCATTTTTCAGCTGGCTGAGAGACTTCACAGATCAAAAAATACAGTGGCTCCTAAATGATTTCTGATATGCACAATTCGAGCGTTTTTTCTTCTCAGCATGTGGTGTGGAGCCTGCCAGAAACCATCTTTGCGGCTATTGACAGGCGGATTAGAAATCATCCGCGATGGTTTCCATCGCTTCCCTACAGGCTGGTCATCCATTTAAACCGCTCCCCTTAAAGCCTGCTTTGTGCGTGCCCTTCCCTTACATGTTGCTCTTCTCTTTCAGTGTGGTGCTCACCTTGGGCATATTTTTGACGACGGGCCCCGTCCAACCGGCAAGAGATACTGCATCAACTCGGCCTCCTTGTCTTTCTCGCCTGCGGAGAGCGCGGCCGGGGGTGGCGGGCCCAGTGGCCCAGCCCAGGCAGACCAGGAGGAGCTGTAAGAGTGCCGGGCTCCAGAGAAACAAGTGTACTTATCGCACAGCTTATTAACAGAATTCAGGATTGTCTATCTTAGATATATTTTTTCAAAACAAAAACAAAAAATACAGGGTCAGTTTTGTGCTATTGATATATTTCTTCTTTTGCTTAAACAGAGGCCCTGGCCACCAACGTATTTTGCTATTGACTAGATCCGGAACTGTTTATATCTTTTAGCGGGCCGCGACAGTTTTGTGAAACTTCTCCACAAGCCACTTCAGTACCATTTGGCATAATTTCCCTCATCACATAGCTTCTTTTGAGATGTGTTTCCCCCCGATGTCAGAGGCAGCAGTGAAAGCGGAGCCCTCCTGGCGCTGTAGGGGCCTGAGCTCTGAGCGGGGAGCAGGGAGGAGACCTGTGAGACACATGGCCCCGGGCATTTCACAGATAAGGATGGAGTGATGTCTCCTGAGACTTCTTAGCTTTGCGGACTGTTTGAGCTAAGGTCGTTTATTCTCACTAAAAGGGTGTGAAGGTCTAAAGTCTTTCCTTATGTTAAATTGTTGCCAGATCTGAGGGGGCGCAGGGAGCGTTGTGGCAGAGAAGTAAACATTACCTCACGGCAGCGAGGCCCTTACTTTATTTTCCATTGAAAAACGATAGAATGTAAGACGACTGTACAACGGGGAGCCCCATTCTGCCCAGAGTTCACAAAGAGGAACACCTGCCCTCGCCTTGTAGAAGTCTGTCCCTGCACAGCGCATGTCAGCTGAGTCTGGAAGGGCGTGCTGGTGGGTTCCTCGTTGCCCACCACACTATCAGGAACAAGCATCTCACCAGGCAGCAGAAACTGGAGAGCAGGGGTGTCCCGGGAGGATGTCCCCGGGGGCCGGGTAGCCAGTATCAGGCAGGAGAGCTGACAGGGTCCTGCCAGTAGCACCGGACACCCAAAGGGAGGGGCTCTGTGCACAGGCTCAGGCGAACTCTGGAGAGAGGGTGTGAGTTAACATAAGGAATAGCCAGGAGTTCAGTCCCACCCTTGACACTGATCGGTTGTGTGGCAAGAGACAAGCCATTTCGCCTCTCCATGCCGCCTCTTCATGTACAAACTGAGACATGCAATATTTGTAGAACAATCGACACTCTCAGGGCAAAATTATGATCTTGCTGCACAGTGAAGATCAGTGTTGTGAGATTAAACTGATCTGGTTCTGGTAGCCCTTGAGGCTGAAACCCCGGCATTTGAAATGGAAAGGAGTAGAGAGGAGGCTGCCTTAGCTGATTGGTATGTAAACAGCCGGGCTAAGGGCCAGAACTGTTTCTTTGTAGCAGCGTGGCTGGCCTTACTCTGAGGAGCCCTGCTCAGCTGCTGTAGAACATTCGGGCGGGTGCGATGGCTGTCACTGTGCATGGATATGAGCCGTGCTGATGGGAGTTGGTATCGCCGCCACCAGGTTTTTATGACTGATAGATTTTGTCTCTGTGGCCTTGAACGCTAATCCTGAAATGTAGTTTTTGGAAAAAAAAAACACACATTAATTTTGTAAATCTTTGAAAACATAAAAATTGACATATTTCCTGATATGCACACAGACAAAAATAAGAAAGAGGGACACCTGACAGTTTTAGAGAAAGATGAGAAACTAAAATGAAAAGTTGTGACAAATCAAGATGTCAGTGCGGTCATGTCTGCATTCTTCCAAGTCTCCACCCGCTTCCTGGGGAGGCCCCGAGGTGAGGTGCCGGTGCCTCCTGGTCCTCGAGGCCCCGCTTCCCATTCCAGATAAGTTATGCTCGTCTTCCCTCACTGCCAGGTGTTTCCCCTCAGGCCAGGGTCGCGGGGGAATTTGCAGGTTTCACTCCCCTGTAGACAGACATGAGATATAAAATTTAAGATCATTGAAGCCTCAGCATCCAGACAGCTTTAGAAGCTGCTCCTGACCTCACAGAAGGAGCCCCAACATTACCCAGTGACCCAGCGATCCCCTGCGGCATCGGCCAAAGAAGTGGGTCTCCCCGGACATTTCCTGCCGCGGTGCAAGCCTGTCCTTTGGGGGTCCGCGCAGCGCTTCTCACATCCCCCCGAGTTAGGTGTGGCGGCCTGCCCCGGGGTCCATTGGACACAAGCCACAGTGTCGGGATAGACAAGGAAGATAAACGAGGGGCTTCTTTCCTCTCCCCAGAGACTCTGGGTTCTTAGCGTTCCTTCTCTTTTATTGTAGGGCTTAACATTTCCCTCAAAAAAAAAAAATCTCCGTTTCTAATCCTTAGTCTTTGTTTCACGGGAAGCCAGTTTTTATTCTACCACGTTTCCCAGCATCAACTTGAAGAAAAATGTAGCATCCATCGGAAAAAAAAAAAAAAAAAAAAAAAAAAAAGTGGTTTGATTCCAGATTGCTTTTGAGTTTAAGTGGTATCAAATTTCAGTATATTTCTGTCTTATGTTAAGGAAATATATTACTAAAATGTCAGTGAGCAATAATGTCAGCTGTCGAGCACTAGATTTATTTTTGCAGGATATGGAGTGCAATGAACTGAGTCAATATGGCGAGGTGTGTGTGATCTGCGGGAGTTATGCCATTTAGCATAGGAAATGCAGGGGACTTTCCCTCTCCGCCCCAGTCCTCACTGTGCCGTTAGGAGACGCAGACTTCTGCCGTGTGTACAAAGTCTGTCCAGACAACCAGGCAGAACAGGTCTGAAGAAAGCAGCAGTATATATCATATTAGAGGACATTTCTGTGTATTTTAACCTTGTACTTCTTTAGATGCATTTACATTCTTAATGCAAATAACATAGTCATTTAAAAAGCCTCTCCATGTTAACTGAACTGAAAATGTCTTGCTTTAAGTACAGAATACAACGGATTACTATTTGTTCAGAAGGACAAATATTCTTTCTGCCTTAGATAGCTTTGTAATAATCTTTTCTCAGACGATTCAAAACTTTTGAAAATGATGTGAAATTTTCATTAGAAAATCCCTTTCCTATGGTTATTGTATACAATAATTAATGCAATAAAATTTCTTTATAAAAGTCTTTTCTTGTCTGATTCCTAGACTCCTCATTTTTAGCACAGATACATGGACCATCCATTGGAGTTTGCCGGTAGGTAGGCTGCTCTGCTGACCTCCTCACCTGGCTGACAAGCCTGTAGTTCGCATGGAAGGCCTTTCACCTGTGTGGCACTTGCAAGCTGGGCTCTAGGTGTAGGGGGAGTCCCAGAACCCAGGATGGGCCTCCAGGATTCAGAAGATCGGAGGAAAGGGAAACATTTGCCGAATTACTCCACCTTCACCTCTCCTCAGCAGAAACTTCAGCAGCTTGTCTGTGTTTTTCTGCTTCAAATATGGACATTGGGGAGTTTCATCCCGATAGGACTGTGTGGATGAAAATACAGGAATGATACCATGCTGATGCCTAGGTTTCCGTTAAACAGTTTGACAGAAGACTTACACTGTTCTCAAGAATTGGTCTCTAAGGAAATATCTACACAAGGAGTTGCCCATTGCACACCCATGAGTTTACCTTTAAAATCATCTCTGCAGAAGTGTTTCGGTACACAGCCATGCATCACATAATGCTTAGGTTAATGATGGACTGGATCGACGTTCATGATGACCCCACAAGATGGTCCCACACCAAACGTGTAGTCTCCAGGCTGCAGCATCAGTATCACCTAAAAATGGCTACCAATACAGGTGTTCAGGCCTCTCCCACTCACTGCACCAGGAATTCTGGGTTGGGCCCTCACAATTTGTGCTTTAGCAAGCCTGCCATGTGATTCTGATTCTTGTTCAAGTTTGAGAACCGGTGCCTTGGAACTTCTAGTGATAAAAATTCAATTCTCATTTCTATCTGACTGTCCCCTCCCTCCAAAGGCCTGATTTGTCATCTCTGGTTGTCTTGTTATAGAGATGGTCAGTCTTCCCAATGCTTCATGTCTTTCAGTTCTTCTTGCCCTTCACTGCTGTCTGTCTTGATGCCTAGTCAACCAGCACCACCTTATCTCCTCGCAGTGTTTCTAGGTTTACTGCAGACTGCCCAGTGGTGCTCAGCTGCCTCTCTGAACTGCTGGTGTCCACAGCAGGGTTCATCTCAGCAATTCCTAGAATTAGAGAGCAGACCTACATGGCGATCCTGTATGTACAGACAGGGTGAGCCAGGAACACGGAGAGAGCTGTTGCAGAGCTCCATGTGACCTTAGGGCTGTCCACTAAGGTCTTTATGACCCACATAGAGTGTGAGAGTTCCGCCCAGAGGCCTCCTGATTCCTGTCTTGGTTAAGATCTCTATCATTAATGTTGATGTTTCCCTGTTGATAGAGCTCTTTCTCTGAAAGCATTGCTGATCAGCAGTCAAGTCCTTTCATTTCAGTGGCCTTGTGTCCCTCAGTACTAGAAAAGATCTCAGCTGGGTGTTTCTGCTAACATTGGAGGGAAGGTGCGTGGACTGGAACTGCTCCCGTGAAGGCTCCACAAGCAACAGGTACATAGCTGAACAACAAGAAGAACATGCTAAGAGAGCCAAATTAAAAACAACCTAACAAACTTAGTCTGTACTATTCCAAACCAGGAGCTCAGACCTGCAAGTAGTGAAATAAGGGGTCATTATTGTCTTGGACAGATTGAAGCCCTTGATGACAGATCCAGCAACTGGAGAGGTTTCCCCTTTCACAATAGATTGGGAAATGTGGACCAGGGCCTTTTTCCTTCTAAGAAAGACAAATGGAACGAAAGTAAGAAGCAATAGTAAGACAAAGTTGTGCAGGCTTGGGCTGGTGGTTTAGAGAAAGCTGTGCCTTTCAGATGCTACACGTTTCTGTATGCGGAGTTCCAGTCAGGATTTGGTGAAGACACTTCTTTAGGTGCGATGCATGAATTCAAAAGTCTACTCATTTTACTCTTCAAATATGCACCACCTTTGGACTATGAGAAATCAGCATTACCCAAGGTAACTTCCTGCAGATCATTACGGAGGGATGGGTGATTCTTTAGTGTTAAGCAGTTGTGAGGAACTTTGTCAGTGTCATTTGAAGAGTGTCATCCTATGAACCAGGAGGTCATGGTTCAATTCCCGGTCAGTGCACATGCCCAGGTTGCTGGCTCGAACCCCAGTGTGAGGCCTGCAGGAGGCAGCTAATCAATGATTCTCAGCATTGCTGTTTCTACCTCTCTCTTCCTCCCACTACCTCTCTGAAATCAATAAAAAATATTATTTTTTTAAAAAAGAAAAGGACTTCATAGGAGGGAAGGTGACTCACTGAAAGATGCTTGGTGTGGTGAGAATTTAGGTGGGCTCTATGGCATGGGGTGCAGAGATGGTTAAAGGGGGCCCCAAAACAATTTCTCTTGTGGTCTTAACCAAAAGGGTGTGGCAGTTACGGCTCCAGCAAGGGAGATATCCCGAGCCACAGGGCCTGGTTGCTGCCTATGATACTGTATGCGCCTATTCCGGAGCCCATGTTTCTGGGATGTCCAAGAGCAGATGGATTCATTAAACTCTCCCATGAGGCTGAAAAGGTCATGTTGTCCCCATAAAATTGGGTTGGGACTGTCATTATTTAGTAAAACATACAGAGGTGTTTTTTTTTTTTGCCATAAGACAGAGATTTGGGATTCAGTTTTGCAATAGCCCAAGAAAGCCTCACAAATGCTGTTTAGGTTTGGACCTTGGGAAGTTTAGGACCAGGAAGTCTGCTTGGGTCCCGGTATAATCCTTGTTCTGATATGAGAGGCCCCAAATATGGAATCTGGGTTTAGACAAGCTGATTTTTCTTTGGAGATTTTCTTTCCTTGAAGGCTACACATTCTGAAAGGTGGATGCTATCTTCCTGTGAGAAGACCTGGGAGGAAGAGAAAGAAACAAATCATCTGTGTATTGCAGCAAAGGAGAACCTTCAGAGAAAGTTACATCATCCAAACCAGCCTCTCAAGATTTGTGAGAAATAGGAAGGGCTCTCAGCAAAATCCTGAAGGATTACTGTCCAGGTGTACTGTTTCCCTTCCCAAGTGACAGCACAAAGGTATTGGCTAGCTCCATCCTTGGAATGTTAAATAATGCACTGCATAAATCAATTACATGAATAATTTATTTCCAGCTGGGAACGATGCTAGTAGTGTGTGAGGGTTAGGAACTACAGGGTGTGCAGGGGTAACAATGCTTTTGATTGCTCAGAGGTCCTGGTCCTGGACAAACCCCCATCCTCGGCCCTTGGGTTTTCTTCTCATCAGTAAAATTGGAGGGACTTGGGCCGTGGGCTCTGTAATCTATGATAGTCTTCATACCTTGAAGGACCCCTTGACTTATGGGAGATTGGGTAATTCTGGGAAGTGGTTTTGAGGGATCTATTTGATCTTATGAGGTGGAGCGCTGTGAATTTTGCAAGTACCAGTTGGAGATTTTGCCCACAAAGAGGATGGTAGCTGGTCCAACAGGAACCACTGATCAGTAGCCCAGAGCCTGTTATAGTGCTGTCAGAAAAAGAAGTAAGTGCCTCTTAGTTCACCTGATTGACTATTTTGAGAGCTACCGTTAAATTTTAGTATTATTTCCTCCCTTCAAGAGAATGACATTTTGGCATGACACTTCTCTAGGAAGTCTCAGACTAATAAATAAATAGAGGCAGAGGAACTAAGGGACTAAGAAATGATCTCTCAAAGGGCCTAAATAAAAAGACATGGGCTCAGAGACAGAAACCTGCAGAGGTGTTTGAAGTCCCCGCTATCTGGACTGTATTACCTGGAGCAGGGGCCACTTCATAGCAATGGGGTGAGCCCTGAGCTCAGGTGTCCAGAGGACAGAGATTTCTTCCCAACTTGGAGGAAAGTTTCTCCAGACCGATGAAGAGGGGGAACTGAGGAGAGCCCCTGTAGTTCCTCAGGGTCCTGCCATTGGGATGAGGAAGGCCTTGGGAAGGCTGGCCAGGAGGCTGAGGCCTCCTGAAGTGCTTAAATGTGTGACAGCCTCTTTTCCAGTATCCTGACTCTTTGCAATGCCCGCAGAAGCAAGGAGATTTCGGGTTTTGTATAGCGGGCTTCATTTACCAGGGCTGAAAATTAAAAATCTTCATGGTCTTACTTCTAGTGGCTCATTCTAGGATACAAGCAAGCTTATTTGCCAAATCAACCCAATCTAGAGTGGATATGGTTTCCCAATCCATCCTGCTTCTTTTAACTAAAAGGGGAAAGTCTCAGTTCAGCGCATTAATAAACGCAGAGTTAAGGGCTACTCGAGTAGAATCCACATCTGGAGGAATATCAGAATTTTTTTTTTTAAATATGAAGTTGATTATAATAGTCAGATCTGTCAGACTTTTGTGAGCAGGTCTGAATTTCGTCCTGATCCAC